AATCTCCCCAAAACCTCCCCAAATCCCCCTTATTTCCCTTAAATCCCCTCAGGACCCCTCAAATCCCCTCAGGTCCCTCTAAATCCCCTCAGGTCCCTCCAAATCTCCTCAGGGATCCCCCCAAAACTCCTCAAAATATCCCCAAATCCCCTCTATTTCCTTCAAATCCCCTCAGGATCCCAAAAATCCCCTCAGGATCCCTCAAATTCCCTCACAGAGCCCCCAAATTCCCTCAGGGACCCTCCAAATCCCCCCTATTTCCCCACAAACCCCCTCAGGGACCCCCAAAATCTCCCCAAAACTCCTCAAAATCTCCTCCTGTTTCCCTCAAATCCCCACAGGATCCCTCAAATCCTCTCAGGGACCCTCAGAATCCCCCCAAAACTCCTCAAAATCTCCCCAAATCCCCCCTATTTCTCTCAAATCCCCTCAGGATCCCAAAAATCCCCTCAGGGACACTCCGAATTCCCAAAAATCTCCCCAAATCCCACCTATTTCCCTCAAATCCCCTCAGGATCCCCCAAAATCCCCTCAGGGACCCTCCAAATCCCCCCTATTTCCCCACAAACCCCTCAGGAACCCTCCAAATCTCCCCAAAATCTCCCCAAATCCCCTCTATTTCCCTTAAACCCCCTCAGAATCCCCCAAAATCCCCTCAGGATCCCAAAAGTCCCCTCAGGATCCCCAAAATCCCCTCAGGACCCCCCCCTCTTTTTACCGCTTTCTCCTCCGGGCCCCGCAGGAACCGCTTCACTCTGGGCCGCGGCACCGGCGCCGGCCCGGGGAACGGGTCCGTTCTCTGCGGGAAAACCGGGAATGAGACCGGGACCACCCCAAAAATCCCCTCGGGATTCCCGAAATCCCCCAAATCTGGGGAATTCTCGCCCCTTCTCCTCACTCACCCCGGACACGCCGCCCGCCATCACGACCATGCGGCGATACCACGCCTACTTCCGGGTGAGGAACCAATCCGATTGAAGGGCGAGAAAAACTGACCAATCAGCGAGAAGCGGCGCGGGAAAAGGTTGAAGGCGGAGGCGCCATCTTGGGTGAGGGCAAGGCAGGTATTGAGCAAAACGCGGGCGCCATCTTTGTTGTGGGCGGCGCCATTTTGGGTGAGGGCGCAGGGCGCGGTCGCCGCCATCTTTGTTGAGGGCAAATCTCCTCCCGCCACTTCCAGGTCGGTTTTCCCAAATTTTGGCCCATCCCAAATTCCCCTTTTTTTTTTCCCCCCCAAGAAGCGATTCCCCTTCCCAAACCTCTCCTTTTTATCCTGAATTTTTATTTTTAAAAATATCGATATTTTTCCCTCAAAAATGCGCTTTCCTCCCTCCCCCTCCCCCTCACGAAAATTCGTTTTTACTCCCCAAAATTCCACGCGGATTTCCTGAATTTTGTTATTCCCGAAAAATTCTCTCCCATTCCCTCCAAAAAATCCCTTTTGTCCCAAAAATCCGCTTTAATTCCCAAAAATCCCCTCATGAGTTCCCAAAAAAACCTTCTGAACTCCACAAATCCCCTCCCATCCCCAAAATCCCTTTTTTCGTTCCCAAAAAATCCTTCAGAATTCCCAAAAATCTCTGCTTTTATTCCCGGAATTTCACATCCAGACCCAAAAACAACAAAATTCCGCTGTTTTTCCCCAATTTTTCCTGGTTTTCCCTCATTTTTTTTCTGTTTTCCTTCCCCAAAAATCCACTCCTGAATTCCAAAAAAATTCCGCTTTTATTCCCAAAATTCCACATCCAACCCCAAAAATCTCATTTTCTTTCCTGATTTTCCTGGTTTTTCCCCCCAAAATCCTCCTTTCCCAATTTTCCCATTTTTTCCCCCAAAATTCCCAAAAATCCTCCTTTTCTTTCCCAATTTTCCCATTTTTTCCCCACAAAATCGTCCTTTTCTTTCCCAATTTTCCTGTTTTTTCCCCATTTTTCCCGCAAAAAATCCACCCCAACTCCAAAAAACTCCACTTTTATTCCCAAAATTCCACATCCAACCCCAAAATTCCCAAAAATCCTCCTTTCCTTTCCCAATTTTCCCATTTTTCCCCCCAAAATTCCTCCTTTTCTTTCCCAAATTTTTTCACCAAAATTCCCAAAAAAATCCTCCTTTTCTTTCCCAATTTTTTCCACCAAAATTCCCAAAAATCCTCATTTTTTTCCCAATTTTCCTGCTTTTTCCCCCCCAAATCCTCCTTTTCTTTCCCAATTTTCCCATTTTTTCCCCCAAAAATCCTACTTTTCTTTCCCAGTTTTCCTATTTTTCCTGGTTTTTCATCCAAAAATCCTCCTTTTCTCTCCCAATTTTCCCGTTTTTCCCCCCAAAATTCCCAAAAATCCTCATTTTTTCCCCAATTTTCCCGTTTTCCCCTCATTTTTTCCCCCAAAAAATCCACTCCAGCTCCACAAAAACTCCGCTTTTATTCCCAAAAGTTCCCGTTTTTCCCGATTTTCCCCTTTTCCTCCTCATTTTTTCTTGGACACTCCCACGGTTCTCCCGCGGCGCCCGGTGGTCTTGGTGTGCTGACCCCTCACCCTCAACCTAAAAAAAGCCAAAAAACCACGGATTTAACCCCAAAATTCCCGGGATTTTGGGAAATTTGGGATGGGGAATTGCCGGTTTTGCCCAAAATCGCGGTTTTTACCCCCAAAAGTGGCGCAGGCCGCGGTGGGCTCGGATCTTCTTGAGGCGCTCCAGGTCCTCGCGGAGTTTGTTGTCCAGGCCGTTGGCCAAAACCTGAGGGGATTTTGGGGTGAAAAAGGGAGAAATTGGGAAAAAATGGGGAAAAATTGGGAAAAGTGGGAAAAAATTGGGAGAAAATTGGGGGAAAATTGGGAAAAAATGGGAAAAAAGCGAAAAAATTGGGGGAGAATTGGGAAAAATTGGGGGGGGAAGGGGGGAAAATTGGGGAAAAAAGGGGAGAAATTGGGAAAATTTGGGGGAAATTGTGGAAATTGGGGGAAATTTGGGGGGAAAAGGAGAAGAAAAGGGGAAAATTGTGAAAAATCGTGAAAAATTGTAGGAAAATTGGGGAAATTTGGGAAAAAATGGGGGGAAAAGGGAGAAATTGGGAAAATTTGGGAGGAATTGGGAAAAATTGGGGAGGAAAGGGAGAAAAAATGGGGGAAAATCGGGAAAAAATCGGGGGAAAATTGGGAAAAATTGGGAAAAAACGGAGGAAAAAAATGGGGCAAAATTGGGTGAAAAGGGGGAAAAATTGGGGGAAAATTGGGAAAAATTGGGGCAAACAGAAGGAAATTTGGGTAAAAATTGAAGGAAAATTGGGAAAAATTGGGGAGAAAAGGGGGAAAAAATGGGGGAAAAATTGAGGGGACAGTTGGGGAGGAAAGGGGGAAAATTGGGGGATAAAAGGGAGAAATTGGGAAAAATTGGGGGAAATTGGGGAAAAAAGAGAAAATTTGGGTAAAAGGTGAAAAATTGGGGGAAACAGGAGGAAAATTGGGAAAATTTCGGGGAAAACAGGGAGAAATCGGGGCAAAAAGGGGAGAAATTAGGGAAAAAAGGGGAAAATTGGCAAAAAATGGGAGAAATTGGGGGAAAAGGGAGAAAATTGGGGAAAAACTGGAGGAAAATCAAGAGAAATTGGGTGAAAAAAAGGAATAAAATGTGGATAAAAAGGAAAAAATGGGAAATAAAGGGGAAAAATTAAGGGAAATTGGGAAAAATTGGGGGAAAAAGCAGAGAAATTGGGGGAAATTTGGGAAAAATTGGGGAAATTTGGGTAAAAGGCAAAAAATTGGGGGAAATTTGGGAAAAATTGTGGGGAAATTGGGAGAAATAGTGGGATAAAGAGAGAGAAATTGGGAAAAAATGGGAGAAATTGGGAAAAAAGGAGAAAAATTGGGGGAAAAAGGAGGAAAAGGAGGAAAAAATGGGGGAAAAGCAGGAAAATTGGGAAAAAAAGGAATAAAACGTGGAATAAGGGGAAAAATTGGGAAATAAGGGGAAAAAATTGGGAGAAAATCAGGAAAAAAAACGTGGATAAAAAGGGAAAAATGGGAAATGAAGGGGGAAAATCAGGAAAAATGGGAATTGTGGGGCCACACCTGGGAATATTTTCCGTCCTTGACGTCCTTCTGCCGATTGAGGAACCAGTCGGGAATTTTGTACTGCCGGGGGTTCTGCATGATGGTGATCACCCTCTCCACCTGGGGACACAAAAAAATCCCAAATTTGGACCCAAAAAACCCCAAAACTGGAAAAAAATCGCATCAAAAACGGCTGAAATGGCACAAAAAATGTCCCAAATCCCCAAAAAGGACAAAAAAACCCCAAATTTGGACCCAAAAATGCCAAAATTGAAAAAAAATCGCACCAAAAACGGCTGAAATGGCACAAAAAATGTCCCAAATCCCCAAAAAGGACAAAAAAACCCCAAATTTGGACCCAAAAATGCCAAAATTGAAAAAAAATCGCACCAAAAACGGCTGAAATGGCACAAAAATGTCCCCAAAAAATCATCAAATGCACTAAAAATGTCCCCAAGTCCCCCAAAATGAGCTGAAAGTGTCCCCAAATCCCCCAAAATGTCCCTAAAATGTCCCCAAATTGTCCCCAATCCCCAAAAACGACAAAAAAACCCCAAATTTGGACCCAAAAATGCCAAAATTGAAAAAAAATCGCACCAAAAACGGCTGAAATGGCACAAAAATGTCTCAGAGTGACCTAAAAATGTCCCCAAGCCACCAAAAATGTCCCCAAATTGTCCCCAAATGTCCCAAAGTGTCCCCAGAGTCTCCCCAGGTGTCCCCAAGGTGCCACCTTGTCCTTGGTGAGCTCCAGGTGAGTTTGCTCAGGTCGTTGTCGGCCCCAAAACCCCCTAAAATCTCCCCAAAACCCCCCCTAAATGTCCCAAAAATGTCCCCAAATTGTCCCCAAATGTCCCCAGATGTCCCCAAAGTGGCCCCAAAGTGTCCCCAAAGTGTCCCCAAAGTGTCCCCAAGGTGTCCCCAAGGTGTCACCTCGTCCTCGGTGAGCTCCCCGGCGCGTTTGGTCAGGTCGATGTCGGCCTTGCGCAGCACCACGTGGGCGTAGCGCCGCCCCACGCCCTGCGGGGACAACGAGGGGGACAGTGTCACCAAAGTGTCCCCAAATCCCACCAAAGTGTCCCCAAACCTCCCCCAGATGTCCCCAACCCCCCCCAAATGTCCCCAAACCCCCCCAGATGTCCCCAAGCCCCCCCAAGGTGTCCCCAACCCCCCCCAAATGTCCCCAAACCCCCTCCAGATGTCCCCAAACCCCC